TGAGTTCAATCCTCACTTGGTGCCCCGTAATTTCAGCCTTGCTTAGAAAATCAATATATTAAGTGCATTTACAAAATTATGTCTAAATATAAATGTTTGTTTTATAAAATACTGGTTTGCTTTATACAGGAATCCCTCGATTAATGCGATAACATTTTTATATACCAAAATTCGATTAGTGCATATATAATACACATGGTAATTGAAAATCTATCTATCTATCTATCTATCTATCTATCTATCTATCTATCTGCTTTTCTATCACTTCTCTCTCTCTCTCTCTCTATATATATATATATATATATATATATTAAAAATTAATTGATTTAAAATATGTTTTTTCGCTACACAGTTCTAACCATATTTCAAAAATGGAAGCTAAAGTTACTCCAAAATTCGTTTGAGGATGAAATGGAACTAATGTCTTTAATTTAAGCTTCCCTTGTAGCTTCCATTTTTGAAACATGGTTAGAAATGTGTAGCGAAAAAACATTTTAAATCAATTAATTTATAATATTAATGCTCTGTAAATTTACACTGAGCACTATTTTGTAAAATAAAAATATCTATAAGAACACCGGATTATATATCTGTTTTTTTATATATATATATATATATATATATATATATATATATATATATATATGAAAAAAATTTAAAAAACAAACAAAAAATCCTTGGCTTGCAATTATATTTTTTTAAAATGAATGAATTTGTATGTCGACGTCTGACGTTTCGGTTTTAATAAATATTTTTCAAGACAATATTCATTAAAATACAATTGAGTTCAATTTGATAAAGACGATGGACATAAAATTGTATTTTAATGAATATTGTCTTGAAAAAAGTTTATTAAACCGAAACGTCAGACGTCGACATTTCATTCATTTTAAACAACATAATTGCATTTAAGGATTTTTGTTTGTTTTTTCCAAATTTTTCTTCATTCTGTCGGATCTATATCCATTTACATTTGCTTACACACACACACACACACACACACACACACACACACACACATATATATATATATATATATATATATATATATATATATATATATATATATATATGCACGTTTCATTGTATATAACAGACAAGGTGCTTTGATTTAGTTTTTTATACAATTTCTCATGTGAGCTTATAATTTATCTACCGAAAAGAAAAAAAAATTATAATATCACTTGAGAAATTGTATAAAAATTGTATATTCAATGAATGTGCATGAAATTAGGATTCTTGCCTAAATACGCAAATCTATCTATCTATCTATCTATCTATCTATCTATCTATCTATCTATCTATCTATCTACTTTTCTCTCATCTCTCCTCTCTCTCTCTCTCTATATATATATATATATATATATACATATATATATATATATATATATATTTGGTTGGATAGATGTGAGTTTGTGACCCTGGGTTTCACGCTTTAGCGATCGTCAGATATATGTTAGCTCTATCTCTGATATTGAGCGCTTTCTAATAAGTACCTCGCATATAATATATAAATAATTATACATATATATATTTGTTTATATTTATATACACTTTTCATATATATATATATATATACACATATATATATATATATATATATATATATATATATATATATATATATATATATATATATAGAGAGAGAGAGAGAGAGAGAGAAAGATAGAATAGGAGATAGATAGATGAATCTCCCCGATTAGTGTGGATGATGTGTACATCGGTAACTATAAAAAGATCAATTTTCAATTACCCTGGTTAAACTGAAGGATGTTTTACCGCACTAATCGAGTGTTATATATTCACTAATCGAATTTTGGTATATAAAAATGTTAGCGCACTAAGTGAAAATGCATTAATCAATGGATGACTGTATAATGAAAACTTTTATTTTATAAAACAAATATTTATATTTAGACATAATTTTGTAAATGCATTATATATATATATATATATATATATATATATATAAAAGCAGGATGTGTGTGTGTCTCTGTGTGTAACGAATGCACGGTCGCAATTTTCGACGGATTTGCACCAAAATTTACATGCAAATGCTACAAGTTAGCGGGAAAGGCCAAGACCGACTTTGCATTTCCCAACTCCCATCGATAGTGGAAATAATTGATTTTTTCATGCTTCTACGGTAGCTTTCATGTAGTTTGCAGCCATTTTATACTGGTCAGAGTGAGAGCCTATAGTTGGCTGCCACGAATGTTAACTATTATGCTAGCATGCAAAAAAAAAAAAAATTCGATAGCTGCATTCGTCACAAGTGGGAAAAAATTTAAATCTGCATGGCACTTTACTCCGGTTAGCTCATTCGCTTGCTTAAACTCAATGTTGATTCTGATTCCGCAGAACTGGGTTGGGTGTGAAAAAGTATTTGTTGTTAACATTCTTTTTTCATTCGGTTTTTCCAGTTACGAGTCCTTTTTTAAAGCTGATCATTTTTGTGTTCATTTTGTTTAGTTCTTTTTTCGTAACAGATTTAATGTTT